ATATAGTCGTTAGTGGAACTCTCAGGCCAGCAAAGGTGCACCGCGCAAGGAGGATCAACAAAGATTCGCAGTCCAAATCTCACAGCAAACACGAACGCAGATAGCTTAAAAATTGCGAGTATGGACATCCTCTGACGCCAAAATTTAAAAAATTTTAATAAAAAACGTTTCGGTCCAAGACCTTCTTCAGTTATTTACAACTTTTGAAAAAAAGAGAGCATTAAATAAGATCGAAGTGCTAATGATTACGTAATTACAGATAACGACGAATGAGCTGGTCCTAATAAGAAGATAACAAAAATCCTAATTACAAAGAAAGCAATGGACAAAATACAAGAAACAAACCCTAAAAACTAAGAGATAAGAATACTAAATATGTTAAAATGAGTGGCGTAACCAATTGCAAAGAAGCAATGCGGCCAGCAAAAAAAGAGAAGGCCCACATTTAACTACAACTGTAAACCGTAACAAAATCCTAAAACAAGGCCTTTGGAGCCCGAAAGGGCAAATTAGCAACAAAATCCCAGGAGGGGTCCTTAAATGATACTAATCATAATAAGATCCTTTAGCAGGGCCTCTGAGCCCAATCCACACCTAAAGGGCCGACAAAATCCAAGAAAAGGGCCTTTGAACGTTTTTAAAGACAATTTCTTTTAAAGAGAATTTCTTTCTTCAAATCCATGGCACAGCTATGGGTCCGAAGAATGCTTGTAGCTATGCCAATCTAGCCATGGGCGAAATTGATCACAAAGCTAAGTTTTCTGGTCCGATAAAGCCGTTCTTATGGTGGCGATATCGAGACGATGTATTTGATCTACGGCAGCAGGGCCTTCCTCCCCTACATCAATTTACTGATTACATCAATTCTCTGTATCCTTCTATTAAGTTTGAGCGGCTAGTTTTTTCTGAGCGTGATCTTCACGTACTTGATCTTACTTTATATCTTATCGATTAATTTATCAGGACAGACGTCTATTCCAAACCTACAGATTGCCATTTATATCTTCCGCCTTCCAGCTGCCATCACAAGCACGTTTTCAAAGCTATTCGTTTTGGAGTAGCCACAAGATTGAAGAGAAGTTGCTCTGAAGAAGTGTTTTTTCGGCGGAAATGAGGAGGGTGCCTGGCTTCTTAATCTTGTTCTTAATGTCGTTATGTAGCTTACTTTGAAAACTGCATTTGGTGTCCTTGAATTTTATGTTCTGGATAAGCTGGGTCATGGCATCTTCGAAAGGTAGCAACTCGTTGATTTGAGGCGGAGAGTTTCTGGATTCGAAACCGTATGACTCGTTTGCTGTGGATTCTGTATTATTTAAGAAATGATAAGCTTTCCACCGCATCCGACGTAGGAAATGCTCCGTCTTCTCGATGAATCTCTTCAAGTATTCGTTCTTTCCCGGCAGTGGGATATTCTTGGTTGAATAGTTCAAATTCACCTTCTCCATATTGATAGGAGATGAGTCAGACACAGTGCTCGACAATAATAGGAGCGAAATAACCAAAATAGCGGAATGAGATCATCATCTACTAAAAAGTGCTCAATAGCAGGGCTAGAGCTATGGATAATTATACCTCAAGATTTAGGTCACTTGA